GATTGGTTAATTTGTGCATTTTGCTGGTCAACTATTTTGAAAATATTCAGTTTCTGATGTAAAAAATTTGGTCAGTTACTTGTCAATCTCCTTTGCCCAATGCATTTTATGAATGGTGTTATTCTAATTTATCGACTGTGTTTTGCTTTAATTTGATGACGTTGTAATGTTACAGAAATTTTACAAGTGGGATGCAACCATTGACACACAAGTTCACAAAGCCTTTTTAACACAAGCAGGCTCACACTATTCAGATATGATCTCCAGATTCAAGACGAAACGGACTTCAACTGGGAGGCCAGCTTATGTAGCTGAAGAAACATGGCGCATTTGGGAGGCATATTGGGATAGGCCAGACGTGAAAGCTAAATCTGAACAAGCACGCAAGAATAGAATGAGTGAGGTGGAAGGACCTGGTACGGGATGTTCTCGACATACCGGAGGATCTAGATCAGCTATTGAGCATTGTCACAAGTTGGTAATACATTTAACTTAAACCAATTTATTATTTGTATATATTTTACAAGTTAAGTATCATTTTATTGTTCGTGCTTGTTTAATAGCGGGATGATCTTCAAAAGGAGCCTAATCTGTTTGAGTACTTCGAGCAAATCCACAAAAAGAAGAATGGTATGTTTGTTGATTCGAGGTCAAAGAGAATCACTGTAAGTATAACGTAACAATCATATATATTGTTAAATAGATAAATTTTTTATATGCCTTTTTATATTTCTTTTATTTTGTATATGTTTTTAATTGTAGGACGAAATACAAGAACGACATGCGACAGCAACATAAAAAGCTGAAGGGTCAACTGAGCCACCAAGTATAAACATGTCATAGCTATATGTAGATGTTGTTGGCGGGGTAAAGAAGCAGCGTATTTATGGCTTAGGGACTAAGGCTTCCTCATTTATCCGTGAGAATAGTTGTGGTTCATCTGCTACTTCACAACTTCGCCAAGATGAAATGAAGGATATGGTAAATCAATAGATAGAGACTATGCGAGCTGAGATGGAGGCTAAAATGCAGGCTAAAATTGCAAGTTTGATGGATGAGTTGCGTCGCAATGGGATGTTATCCACGTCTATGCCATCACCTCCAACTACTCAAGTTGAACAATCTGCTAATTCAAATGATGAAAACTTAGGAGATGATTAGTTTATGTTTATTAATATATTTGGTACTGTTGTTATTCTTAATGATTATATTAACATTATACAGCGATTTACTTTGGTTATTGTTATTGAGTACGATTGTTTTCATATAATATATTTTACAATTATATTATTGGTGTAGTATATTATATGTATATTTTGCAGGTATGAGTTTTTATTAGTAATTATTTTTTAAAATTTTTAAAATTTATCTACAGACATATATTATTGTATTTCCGTAGCTAATGATTTAATTAAAATATAAACTGGTAACGAAATAGCGACGGAACAATTCTGTAGTTAAATGTAGCGACGGATATTTCCGTTACTAAACTGTTGCTACATGGTATTACATTTAAATAATAAAAACAAGCTAGCAACGACTTGTATCCGTCGGTAACATTAGCGACGGATATTTCCGAGACTATAGGTACCGACGGAATAATCCGTCGCTAGTCCGTTATAAAGGTCGTCATGATTTCGTCGTGGTAGGCATTTAGCAACGGATATTTTGATTATTTACCGACGGAATATCCGTCGCTAACTGTACCGACGGAACATTCTGTCATTATTCCCTCGCAAACGTTGTAGTCAAAACCGTCGCCGGGGGGGGGGGGATTTAATGACGGATTATTTTTTTTCTAGCGACGCAGAGTTCCGTCGCTAAGGGTAGCGACGGAAATAATTTGCGTCGTTAAATTCTAGCGACGCTCAATATAGCGACGGACCAAATCTGTCGTTAATCCCTCGCTATATGGTTTAGCGACGGATTTAGCCTGTTTAGCGACGGAAATTGTCCGTCGTTATTTTCGTGTTTTTTTTGTAGTGGATGTCCTTGTGGTATAATGTCGTATCGTTGAGTATATCACTTGTATGGTCTGGTCTTGATTCCATTCCTTGTGGTTAATTGGATTAGAGTTGATTAGAGATATACTCATGTATTCCCAAGTCTCAAAACTATTTCAAAGTATAAAATGTATATGTATCTTTACACATTGGAGTGGGGTTACTTAGCGTAATCGCTAATGGTTTCAAACTGTTTTCAGGTATGGAGTAGTTAGCTTACGAGAGTGCGATAGACAGAGCCTACCTCCCCTTTTAGCTAGTTTACTTTATTAGTTTGTTTTTTTGGCCTGTGAGCCTAAGTTACAATACGATGTTTAGTATGACTTTTGTAGTATGACTTTGTATGTTGAGGATTTAGACTAGCCTGTGCATTTAGGTTGTGATAACCTAGATGTGGCATAGCATCCTCATGTTTTTGTTAATAACTTCTGCAAATTACCTATGACAGTTAGACTTTTATTATCTATCTCTCCTAAGTTTAAATTCTTAAAATTATGCCTAGATTTGGGGGTGTTACACATGGATTCCGGATACTGGAGCAACCAATCATGTGACTCTAGATATTGCGACCCTATCTACATCGAAAGAGTACACGGGTAATGACACATTGCGTGTGGGTGATGGTAAGGCGCTTCCTATTAGTGGTGTAGGTCATGCTTCTTTTAATACCCCATCTCGTTCCTTCCAATTGTCTAATATCCTTCATGTTCCCAGTCTGTCTACATCTTTGTTATTTATTAAAAAATTTGCAGTAGATAATAATAAAGATTTTTTTGAGTTTCACCCGTCTTTTTGTTGTTGTTGTGAAGGATATCAATACCATGGAAATTCTACTTAAACGCAATAGTCATGGGGGCCTTTATAGACTTCCAATTGCCACATCGTCTCCCTCTGCTTTTCTTACAGCTCGTACATCTCAGTCAGTGTGGCATGATGATTTATGACATCCACATCATCGTGTTTTACTTCGTATTCTTCAGTCATGTTCGGTTAGTGTGTCTAATAATTTTATTCAATGTAATTCTAGTTTGTGTAATGCATGTCAATTGGATAAATTTTTTTCGATTCATGTTGGCACGTGTTGAGTCCTCCAGTTCTAGTGTTCTTGATTTAGTATACACAGACATTTGGGGTTTAGCCCCTCTTTTGTCAATTGATGGCTATCATTATTTCGTTATTTTCGTGTATGATTATACTCACTACACTTGGTATTTTCCCAGGAAATTAAAATCTGATTTGTATGTCATCTTTGATAAGTTTCGCACAATGGTTGAACAGCTTTTTAATAGAAAGATTAAAGCCATCCAGTCTGATCTAGGAGATGAATACAAATAATTACAGCATTCCTTTACTCAATTAGACATATTTCATAGACAATCATGTGCCTATACTCATGAACAAAATGGTCGTGTCGAACTAAAGCATAGACACATAGTTGAAACTGTCTTGGCTCTTTTAACCCGCGCCTCTGTTCCATATAAGTTCTGGGATTTTGCCTTTGAAATTGCAGTTTATTTAATTAACAAAATGCCATCTGTTGTATTAAATAATCTCAGTCCCCATTTTAAAGTGCATAATTCCTATCCTTCATACTTTTTTCTTCGTGTCTTTGGGTGTCTATGTTATCCATATCTCAGGCCATACAATCGTCACAAACTCTCATTCCGGTTTTCCCCGTGTGTTTTCCTAGGTTATCTTGAGTCGTTTCGGGGGTATAGATGCATGGACTTACAGACTAACAAGGTTTATGTGTGCAGACATGTAAGGTTTGATGAGAAAGTTTATCCTTTTGCTACTAAAAGTATTGTGCAGACATCTCAACTGGCGCAGCATTACCCGTGGGCCGAGTCTATTCTTCGACATGTGGCTACAGCTTCTCTGTCTCTCGGCACGATTGACATCTGATCCAGCTCCACCGATGACGATCTCGCGCCGCATGCGGCCACCGCTGATCGCTCGGCCTCGCCCGAGCGAGAGTCGCATGACCAGGCGGATCAGCCCGTGAAATGCCCTCGCGGTTGTCCTCGCGAAAAGACGGTTAAATCCACAGTTCGGACTCATGAGATGCACACTCGGAGCCGGTCTTAGGCTCCACCGTTAGATTTAACGGTTCAGGTTTGTCCTTCGAATCCAACTCGTTACACCAAGCCGTTAAATATTCAGAATGGTGTGAGGCTATGGACAAAAAAAATTTAATGCCTTCCTACAAAATCAGACATGGCAGCTTGTGCCATCTTAACCGGGCATGAACATTATTGGGTGTAAGTGGGTTTTTCGTACAAAACGAAAAGTTGATGACTCCATTGAGAGACATAAGGCAAGACTTGTAGCAAAAGGATTTAATCAGGTGCTCGGTTATGACTTGTTTGACACGTTCAGTCCAGTGGTTAAACCAACCATAGTCAGGTTACTTCTTTCTCTGGCTTTATCATCTAGGTGGTCTATTAAGCATTGGATGTTCATAATGCTTTCTTGAATGGAAACCTCTCTGAAATTGTGTATATGAAGCAACCATCTGGGTATATTGATGCCTACTATCCGAATCATGTTTGCTTATTGAAAATGTCACTTTATAGATTAAAGCAGGCACCTAGAGCCTAATTTAACCGTTTGCACACCTTTATACTATCTATTGGTTTTTAGGCATAAAAACGGACGTATCCTTATTTTATTATTCTCAGGGATCTGATTGTGTATATCTATTGGTTTATGTGGATGTGGATGACATACTTATGATGGGCACAAATACGAATCTAGTTACTCAGCTAGTTTCGAAACTCTCTACTGCTTTTAAAATTAGAGATCTTGGTGAGCAGGATTTTTTCTTGGAATTGAAGCAGTCAAATGCAGTGATGGAATTTTACTTTCCCAACAGAGATACATGCATGATATTCTAAAGCGTGCTGGAATGGCGGAATGCAAACCATTGTCTACCCCATTCCCACGACGAAACTCGTGACTTCTACTATAGTGTTACATGATGATCCAACATAGTACATGAGTTTAGCTGGTGCATTACAGTATTTAACTATCACTCGCCCTGATCTTTCCTTTGTAGTCAATCAGTTGTGTCAACATATGCATGTCCCTACGATTGCTCACTGGGAACAACTAAAGAGAGTTTTAAGGTATGTTAAAGGAACTGTTAATTTTGGTCTACGATTCAAACAGTCATCCTCAAGAGAAATTCATGTCTTCTCTGATTCTGATTGGGCTGATTGTCCGGAGGATAGGAAATCCACAAGTGGCTTTGCTGTTTTTCTTGGGTCTAATCTTATATCATGGGTCTGCAAGAAGCAAAGAACTGTTGCTAGATTTTCTACTGAGTCTGAATATAAAGCTCTAGTAGATGTTTGTGGTGAGGTAATTTGGATCATGTCCCTTTTACACGAAATTCATGTTCCAGGTATTTCGGTTCAAAAATTATGGTGTAATAATCTTGGAGCTACATATATTTGTGTCAATCCCATCTTTCATGCCTGCACCAAACATGTAGAGATAAATTATCACTTTGTGCGAGACAGAGTTGCTGTTGTAGAAATTCAGGTTAACTTCATCTCAACAAAAGATCAACTTGCAGACATATTCACCAAAGCATTGTCTGGTCCTAGATTTTCTTTTCTCAGAGACAATCTACAAGTTACAAGTATACCATGTGCTTGAGGGGGAGTATTTGGACTAGTATTAGGATTCTTATATTTGAGTCATAGTATGACTCTATTCTGGTCTCCCTATGATTCCTCTTGTATATATATTCCCCTTACATGTACATGGTAAGGGCATCCTCAATAGTAGCGGATTTTATCCCAGATTTTTGTGGGCCCCAACATCCAATTCATCATCCACTATCTCACTCAATCACAAAATCTCTTCTTCCCATTAGTTTTAAGTTTCTTCACAACTTTTTGTGGACCCACCATTTTATCTCCATATTTTATTTATTTATTTGATTTATAATTGTAAAATAAACATAAATAATTAACATTATTACAATTTTTAGCAAAATTAAAATAAATTTATAATTATAAACTTTTTACTTTTTTAAATTATAATTTTATCATATACAAATATAATAATAGAATTTAACAAAACTAAAAAAATAAAAAAAAAATGAACAAAGAGGCTGGCCTGGCCGTTGGTTGGGCAGCTTTAAAAACAAAGCAAAAAAAGTATAGGCTTGTCTGAAATGAACTTGCAAATAGCAGGAGAAAATTTTTGTTAAAGTCTTGCCTTCCCATTTGTCCAAATCTACCCGAAGGAGATTTTACTATTCTAAAATGTGGTGTTGAACCTCTTATTGGGGATGCCCTAACTACTGTTCATAATATACAGTTTCTTACAATTCTCATTGGGCATTTGTGGATTTTGTGCCATTCAATAGATGTAAAATGGACAGTGTAATTAATTAAGTGTTTGTATTTGTATTTAGTAAATGTAAAATGTAAATTTCTAATATTTTGTAAATTGTAATACTAAATTTTTTTAATGTATTATTGTATTTAATTTTATTTTATCAACTTAATTTAGAATTTTAGTTCAAATTAAATAAAATTTTATACATTCTTAAAAAATATTTATCAAAAAAATCAGTTGTACACATTTTGGGTATGGAGAATCCAAACCTGACCCGAATAAGTACATCCAAACCCGTTTAAAATTGACATAATTTGGTTCGAGTTTAGATAGGTAAAATTTCAACCTGAAATAATTCATATTACGATTTTACTCTCGGATCGAACGTGAACCCGACCCGTATCCATCCCCAATTTTAGCACCATCTGATGCTTTATGGGGAAAGCACCAGAAGGTGTTAAATGGAAATTCAAGCACCTTTGGATGCTGCATGTGAACTCAAAAGGCACAATTCAATTCCTTGAAAATGAGAAATTAAGGCACTGAATGGTGCGGGCATAGCCAGAAGGAATGACTCCTTTTGGTCCAGAAGGAGTTGGTAATTCCTCCTTGTAGAATTGTTTTGTGCTGCGATTTTCTTCTTATCTAGTCTTCTAGTATACATTTTAATTTGAAAGTAGTTAATTTTATTTTTTGTCCTAGATTTATAGATAGCAATTCACTTTTAGTTTTTTTTTTTTTTATTAAAATATCTTTATTCGGTCATAGTATTATTGTGACATGACAATTTTTAGTCATTCTTTAATAAAATTGTTTGAATTTTGTAAAATCTAAGGCCATTTAAGTATTCAATTATGATTTTTTTAAAAAAAAAAATAAGCGATAATGATCAAATAGGTCCTTCAACTATAAGCCAAAGTAAAATTAGCCCTATAAACTAACAAAAGCTACAATTAACACATTCATCTCTTCACTTATATGCAATTAAGTCCATAACTTCTTAAATTTGTACAATTAGCTCACTTTGTAGGTAGACACAAGAATAGGAAGTAAAATTTATTTTTTTAAAAAAATTAGAGGAAAAAAAAAACTAGATGGCTCCGTCCAAATTTTCCAAATTTCCCATTGCTTGCCTATTAACGTTTCTATGTCAATATGTGTCTTTATTTGGAAACTCGTAGCAACCAAAAACCATGCGTATGCCCGGAAATTATATCGTGCATCAAAGCGCATAATACATTGTATGTCTTGATCCGAAACGACGTCGTTATATATATATATATATATATATATATATATATATATATATATATATATATATATATTGAAAATTCCGTTTCTAGTGTCTGATGTTAATTATTTAAAAAAAAATAAAAATTCATGTTTTGAATGTACACAATTGTATAATAGAATGTAAATAATTGTATAATAGAATGTACATAATTGTATAACAAAATACACATACACTATTTTGAAATTAAGGATAATACACATAATCTAAGATAATACATAATACACATAAACTCTTAATTATTAAAAAAATCCCTATTTCAAATGTACATAATTGTATAATAGAATACACATACACCCCCCGTCTCGTCAACCCCCGACATAACTTAACAAAACGACGTTGTTTTGGGAAGACGGGCTGGTGCACGATATAACGATTGGCGTATGCCCTGCTAGGCGCTAATCAACTCTTGCTCCCATACCATCTTTCCATTGTCAAGTACAAAGACGCATGCCGAAAACTCTCGTACATACCCATCCCTAATCGTTAATATACAAGCTCAGACTCGAAGTCTATTGCCTCTTGCTTCTACGTCCAACTGGACGGGGAAGCCAAGTGGTCGCCGGTCATTTTTTATTTTTTTTTTTAATTTTTTTTTAATTTATTTAAAATAAAAATTATATTTTTTATTTAAATTAATTTTTAAGATTAAAAAATAAAATGAAATTTACATGTGACTTAAATGTAACTTGTTAATTAATTTAATTGCATAAAAGTGAAAAGATGAAGGGTTTTGAAAAAGCCCATGTATCTTGAAATCAATTTAACACTAAGGATTCTACTTGATTTTATATTACGAGACAATTTCGCTGTTTAATTAAACCAATTTAATCAACATATAAATAACGAAATTGAAAGCGTAAATAAAGTAAAGACACAGTAGAATTGTTACGCAGTTCGGAGCTCCTTCTTCTACGTCTGCGGGGCAACCCATGTCTGCCTAATCCACTAGATGTTCACCACAGAGTATTACAAGAGGTAACTACACGGCTCACAGCCTTTACCACTACAACTCTTCTAAAACACCTACTCATGACTGAACCGTGCATGTCATAACCATCTTTGGTGTAGCACTTCAGCTGTCACAGGTACTAACTCGTAGTACAGATTTAAATCACAATTAATATAATCAATATTAAACCAGTAAAGTAGGAAGCTTGCATATGAGATCAGAATTTCAGAATTGGCAACTTCCTCTTTCATTTTCCCTTCCTTATATACTGTACGTAGCTTCCATTTCACCATGCCTTGATTATAGCTTTCACATGTGGCTAGAATTCTTCTCAACCACATCTTCTTTTAACTTGAGATCTTCAGACTTGCTCTTTGTCCAACTTCTTTAACAATAAATCTCCACCACACGTTTTAGCTTGGTCCAAAATACTAATTACAATTCATGCTAATTAACATTACATATTAATAAAATAAACTAATAAATTAGCCAATCTAATGTGTACTATTTTGTACACTTACAATCTCCCCCTTTGGCAATTTATTTGGTAAAACAATAGTATCATTATACTTTGGGAAAAAGAAACGAATATATTTTATTAACATCTCATAGTATACGTACTGAACATATAAAGAAAATTAAATATGCAATTTTAAATCTTTTAGGACCTGACCAAGGCTTATTTGTGTGTGAAAATTTATTTTGGACCTTGGTTGATGTTGACTCACAAACTTCATCCAATTTAATAAATAGTGAATCATGCACGAAAAAGTGTTGTATCAAACATACCACATATGTCACGCTTTCCAATGAATTACTCCCCCTAACTTGGTGCCTTCGTTTCTTCATATGCGTTCCAAATAAACCCAATTCATACCATGCAGTCAACATACCAAATATACCAAGACATTCATACTGTCATATTTAATTCATTCATAGTCATCCCAAAAATAATTTATATAGTACCAAATTATTAATATACCATCCGAACCAGGATTAACATCCATACCAAAATATTCCAAAAACAAAAAACTTACCAAATATCCAAACATTCCAAAATACTCCCCTTTTCTCCAATACTCCCCCTTTGTTTATGCCAAATAAATGACAAACAAACCGGTGAACATCATTTTAGTGGATTGGATTAACTTGCAGACGGGGTGCCCGACTCAGATTCATCACTCTCAGAAATAGAACCAGTGCCAGCGCCAGGGTTAGATCTAATCCGAGCATAGATAGCCTCCATTCTGGCGATTTCTTCCAACTGAGCACTCAACAATTGTTCTAAGCCATCAATGGTTATTTGTTGAGAAGCAACCGAGGTTCGGACTTGTGCAATTGACGCTTGAAGAGTGAGAACAATTTGACGACGATCCATGAGCGTCTGAGGTTCCTTGATTGCTGTAGTAGGACGTGGATTCGGTGCAGAGGCAGTGTCAGCTGAAGATGCAGGGGCAGACACAGAGGGCGTGGCAGTTGGTGCGCCGGGAGTGATCAAAAGCGTAGCTCTATCATCATAGTGATCCTTATTTGTCAACCGATCATCATATTTATAGATTGAGGCATTGGTAATCACCTCCTCATCCGTGTAGGGCTTGAACCCGTGTTCCTGTAGAAGTCCAAAAATGAGGCTAGGAAATGGTAGGTGTACCTTAGGTTCCCTGTGTCGCACAAATTGAGCTAGATGGCCAAAGATGATTTCTCCAAGATTGAGTGGGAGCCGGTTCCTGATCTTGTAGAGAAGGGCAGCAAGCTGGTCAGACACAAGATGATGACGCACAGCCGGCATCCAATTTGTTGAAGCAAGCCGTAACAGAACAGAGTAGACCGTGGTGAGTTTTAAGCTTTCAAGTCCGGTGTTTGGCCAAGTGACGATCTTGTTGTGAGTTAAGGCAGCGGCTAGGAGATTAGGACTCGGGTCAGGAGCAGCTTGATGATTTGGAGTACCCAAATAGGAATTAATTGCTGTCGGGCTTAAGGGATACCATTTATCCCGAATAAAGACTTGTTGAAATCGCGGTGACCCCTCCGAAAATGTATCCAATGTTAAATTTGTGTAGAACTCGG